AGTTGAAGATTTTTCTCTAATAAAATCTTAATTTGGTAGGGTCTTTTACTAATTTATAATAGTTATAGGCTTATATTTTATTTTTGTAATTCTTTCAGTGACTAAATAAATTTGAATTAAATATTTAAGGGACTTAATAGATTCAATTGATAGTTTAGAGACTAAATAGATTTTGACTTATATACTTTAGGGACTACGTAGATTCAATCAATAGTTCAAGAATTAAATAAACAATTTGGTGATAGTTGATGGGTAGAAAGTGTAATAAACCCTAGATTTCATCATCTAATATTATTCATATACAGTTTAAATAATTTGGTCCAAAAATAAAAAATCATGCATAGACTAGAGTTTTTATCAATAGGTTAGGCTTTAAACACTAAAATGGTTCAATTAGAATAGTCAAAAAAGTAAGTTTGCGTACATTATTTTATATGTAAATATTCATTTATTTATTTAATATATTAATTTAAAAAGTGACATAATTTAAACAATGAGAATTTTTTAGTGAGTCTACACTAAGAAAATGGGGATTTTTTTTAAAGATCTATGATATTAAGATTAGCAAAATTCAGTTACATTCAATATTCTCATAATGTCTAAGGTCCCTCAACAATATTTTCATAATATCTAAGGTCCTTCAACCTTGATCCAGAGAAATTTCAGTCCAGAAAAAATTGATCCAGAGAAATTAGAATTTCTCTAGACCAAATTTCTCTGGAAAGTCTAGAGAAATTCTGAATTTCTCAGAATTTCTCTGGTCCAATTATTCTTAGAATTTCTCTAGCCCAATTCTTCCTATAATTTCTCAGCATTTCTCTAATGCATTGGCTAAGTCCAGAGAAATTTTGAATTTCTCTGGTCCAATTCTTCTCAGAATTTTTCTGGCCCAATTCTTCTCAGAATTTTTCTGGCCCAATCCTTTCTAGAATTTCTCTGATGCATTAACTGACTGTCCTGACCATATGCAATCACATGCTCTTATGGACATTAGGTAGTACTTTGTTCTCTTTACTATATCACTAAGAAAATTTCCAGATCTGCTGCTACTTTTAGCATGCAAAATGCCCATGATTTTGTTTGGTATTGATCAGTACTCTTTCTCTCTTACAGTTTTTTTCCCTTGTCTTAAGTTTATGTCCCAATCCTTTGCACATTGTCAATTTCTCTGACTTTATGTACTAATATAAACCCTAAATCTATTATTTTTCATAATCATCTTAAATCCTGAATGTGTCATCTTCATCACCATCATCAACGCTATTGAACTTGAAAGTTTTGCTTCAAGTATAATGTATACTTCATCACTTATTTTACTGTGTAGAGCAATAGAAGACGAGGACAACAATTCTAGTGAGACCGGCGTTCCATTAATAGGTTTATCTGTCTTGTATTAACATTCTCGGTCGCTTTCGGTCGTTCTTCGTTTCGTTCGAGCTGTTTGGTACTGGTTTGCTGACTGTTAGAATTATGTTCGGTAATACGGTAATGAACATAATCCTTTCGTTCAATATATAGGTTCCGAACATTAATGCAGATAGTCAGTTATGTAATTTTCTTTGTTAAACTAACTTAGAATGGAAAAGAGTGAATTAGAATGGATTTAAGTTATGTATTTTTAATGGATTTAATTTATATTATTTTAAAGTTGTGAATTGGAATGGATTCAAGTTACATAGTGATAAACAAATTTTGTTCGGACATACAGTGCTGATAGGATCATTATTGTTCGACAAAATCGTTTTAAACAAAATACATTTTTTCGGCTACACAGTGGTGAACAAATTCAAAATCATCACTCGAATCTGCTGATCTCCTATCGAGATTCTTAAATTCAGGGCATTTAGATGAAAGCTTTAATCTGGTTTTTCTGGCTTGTCTCCAAAAACCCAAATGTAGAAACTGAGATTCTCAAAGAAATCAATGAGAAATCCGAAACTCCGATCTACGAAGAAGTGAAAGACATGGTTTACACACATGCGTCGCTGACCGAGACTATGAGACTCTACCTACCCATCCCCATTGATAGAAAGCAAGCTTTAAAGAATGACGTGTTCCCAGATGGGACAGTAGTAACGAAGGGTATGAGAGTGAATTACCATCCTTACGCAATGGGGAGGTCAGAGGAACTGTACTGGACCAAAGCTCTAAACTCTGAGGCCCCGTTTGTTTTAAGGTATAGGGAGGATATTGGGATTAGTAATACCAAAGTATTACTAATGCTCTTGTTTGTTTACAGAGATAGCCTTGGGACTATTAGTCCCTTGGTATTACTAATACCCTTGGAAGGGGGATTGGTAAGGAGGAAGTAGAGATGGTATTAGAAAATAGTGAGGGGATTAGAAATTTTTTTATTTTTTTTATATTGGAAATTTTTTTTTAAATATAATGTTTAATTTTTTATATTTTTTTATTTGTTTTATTATTTTATATAAAAATAATTTAACAATTCCTCATTATTAATCTCCTCACTATCAATCCCCTCACTATCAATCTCCTCCATTCTATCTTCCAAAACAAACGGGGCCTGAAGATTGAGTGAGTCAGGGAAGGACATGGATGAAAAATTAGGAGGGTGTGTATTTTATTGTGAAAATATTATGAATATGGATAGATTTGGTAATAAGTAAGATGTCTAAAAAAATATTATTAGAATTTAGAGTTTAGGGTTAAGATTCAAAGAAACAAGGGATCCAAAAAATTTTGATAAAGACTAATAGTAGCACTCAAAAATAAAAAGGGAAACCGCTGGGGCAGATTATAACTATCCCAACTGGCCATCATTCCCGGCCCCAGATGATTTTTAAAAATTCGTTGACTATGCATGTAACATATATGTATCCAAGTCTCACCTGTATCAGTTACAATTACCATTTGAGCCCAAATCCCTATTTCTATTGATGGACTATCAAACCCTTTTCTATCTCACCACCAAAACCCTAGTTTTGTCTAAAAAATGGCGGATCAGATCGAGCTCAATCGAACCTCTCTTCCCCTTCCCTATCAGCTTCAGGCGAAGAGGAAGGGCTCCGGAGTGAGGACCTGGTTTGTCGTCTCAAAATTGGGGAACTCTCGAATTGAAGAGCTTGGGAAGCAAGCGATCATTCTGAGGAGTGGAGTTCAGGCTCATGATTTGAGGGTTTTTGAACCAGAGCTCTCGAACCCCTCTGCCATTCTCCGAAGGGAGAGGGCTATTGTTGTGAACTTGGAACATATTAAAGCGATTATAACTGCGAATGAAGTTCTGGTACCAAACCCTAAAGGCCCTTTTATGGGTTCATTTGTTTGTGATCTCGAATTCAAGCTCTCTGATTTTGGTGTAAGTACTTTTCTTCATTTATTTCATGAAATTAACTTGATTCTGATTTGATTAGAGTGATCATTCTTCTGATTTATTTTAGTGGGTTGATCTGTGAATATGTTGGGTGAAATTTGTATAATTTTGTTTTTGGAATTTTGAGTCAATAACACAACATGAAAAAAATGAGCAAGCTGAGAAAAAACTTCTAACACTTTTTTACAGAATTAAAAATTAAGACATCCTGTTGTTTTTAAATATGATTAGGAACCACTACTTGGTGAAATTGTTAAAATTCTGAGCTTATAACTGTGAGAATGCGGGTTTTGGTGCAATGAACTACAACATCGAGCAAATAAGGAGAAGAGTTAGATCCACACCCATCTGCCCGATCTGGAATCCTTGATTAATGGAGGCAAACGCTGGGTAATGGCCATTTCCTTTTTGCTTATTATGGTAAACATAAGTCAACAGATAATAGTTGGAAGCATAAATTGTCGGCGAAATTATTTTTTTCTTAAATAATGCTAAGCAGAGAACAATATATCCAGTTTATTGTTACTATTTATTTCATGAAATTAACTTGATTCTGATTTGACTAGAGTGATCATTCTTCTGATTTATTTTAGTGGGTTGATCTGTGAATATGTTGGGTGAAATTTGTATAATTTTGTTTTTGGAATTTTGAGTCAATAACACAGCATGAAAAAAAATGAGCAAGCTGAGAAAAAACTTCTAACACTTTTTTACAGAATTAAAAGTTAAGACATCCTGTTGTTTTTAAATATGATTAGGAACCACTACTTGGTGAAATTGTTAAAATTCTGAGCTTATAACTGTGAGAAAGCTGGTTTTAGTGCAATCAACTACAGCTTTGTGTAAATAAGGAGAAAAGTTAGATCCATACCGATCTGCCCAATCTGGAATCCTTGATTAATGGAGACCAGCTCTGGGTAATGGCCATTTCGTTGTTGCTTATTATGGCAAACATAAGTGGACAGATAATAGTTAGAACCATAAATTGTTGATGAAATAATTTTTTTCTTAAATAATGCTAAGCAGAGAACATTATATCCAGTTCATTGTTACTTTAATCAGAAAAAAAAAAAAAATAGCATCACAACACCACCTAATGATTGATATAATTTAAAACAGCAATGCTAGGTATCATGAAAAACCTTTCATGAAAATAATCATGAAAGTTTTGTGACCCTTGGATTACACTTAGAATAAAAAACCACACACTAATCAAGGTAATCCAAGGATCATAAATTTTTCATGATCATTTTCATGACAATTTTCATGATCCCTAACTTTTCCCAATTTAAAAAGAGGTGTATGATTGATTGTGTTGCTGTGTGAAGGCCAACATGGTAAGCAATAAAGCTATGGAGCAATCACCCTCAAATATGCCACCAGAGGCAAGTGATAGGAGTCATAAATCACCAGCTGAATGGTCAATAGGGGCAACTCAAAGCCATTACCATTTGAGTTCAGAGCTTTTGAGATTTGCCTAGAATCTGTCTGCAGGAGCCTTGAATCTGAGGTATGACTATTAATATATATGTCCTAATGCTTTTGCTTTGTATTTCTACTTCTTCACACCAGCTGTGATATTGAATTTTATTAATGTATCTGATTGAATTTTGTTTGAAACTAGCATATCAGTTTTAGGGAAATTGACACTTCTGATCAAGCTTTCTTTATGATCAGTGGGTAACAAACTGCACTTACATTATCTCTTATATTTGCAAAGTGGGATTTCTCACCCGTCTCAAATAACAAAATTCATTGATTTGATGGTAGTTTATTTTACTTCTTATTTATGTTTTTCTCTATACTTTCTTTGTACATCATGAAATATACAAGCACCCTCATTTTTTGAGTATCTCGGATGAATTTATGACATCGTTAACCACCTCATAATCTTGCAGCCATATACTCAACCATAATTTGGCATCACACAACTTTTTAGGTCCTCTACACCTTTCACGAGTTCAATCTATCCATCAAAGAGAGAGTTAATATGTCCTTTATGGGAAAAGATGAATTTGCCAAGTAGTATAAACTTTGACAACGTTCCCTATACATTCTTAAACTTGTGGTAACATCCTTCAATCAGCACTAGTAGTGGTTTTTTTTGAACTTTTCTGGCCTATCGTTGTTATCTATATCTTATCAACAGATAGAACTATAGATTTAATCCTTTCAAACAAAGTAAATCGTGCATCAAATGCTATGAATCAATCTTCTTGTTGGTTGTGGACCTTTTACTGAGATATCGTCGAAGCATGTTTGGTCTTTGAATGCATTCGCCCCATCTTTTTTTTTTTTCACAACTAAGGCTTCACTAGAAGTTGAGTTTTCAGTTTTTAGTTTCTTTAGAGATGTAATTTTTACAAATCCATGTTGATGTATTTATCTAGACTTCCACATTAGAAGAAGAAGCATATCCGGCTTTAGATGAGCTATCAGCTAAAACCAGTACGCTTAATCTCAAACACGTGAGAGTCATAAAAGGTCGTTTGGTTGCTTTGTCTGGGCGTGTGCAGAAGGTATAGTATTATCTCATTGACTTCTTTAATGCTCATCACTTTTTAGTGTCATTAATTGTTTTCCATTTCATCATATTAATTCTTGATAAGGGATTTTTCTTTTCTTTTTCCTTTTTCTATATAAAAAAAAATTATTCTTGTTTGGAAAAGTAGCTAATTGATCTAGTATAATGATATTATGCCATATATTTTATAGGTGAGGAGTTTGAACATCTACTGGATGATGACTTAGATATGGCTCAAATGTACTTGACTGATAGGCTTGCCACCTTGCAATCTGAAGGTTTAGAAGATGAACTAGAGAATGATGCAAATGCATTTAAATCGGGCAATGATAGGTAAATTATTTTCCATTTAGATTCTTGTAATATCTTTGCATGTGGAATACTTTAGATGTTTTCTTTATTATACACAGATCGTCAAGACGTTATTGCAAAACTACATTGTCAATGTTGGTTTTGCAGCAACACCAACTGAGTCTAACTTCCCGATAAATCTCATATCTATGTTGGTTTAGGTTTGATCTTGATTTTGCCCGATAAATCTCATAGTCTAATTTGAACCCTGTCTAGGTATTGATTTTATCTTCACCTATTACTATTAAGGCTATAATAAACAAAGAAGTTGTTCTTATTTTTCAATAAATTTTAATTCAATGTGCTTCATCATGCTTCTTGGTTTTCAATTTTCAGTGATGAGGACATGAGCGGCAAAAGCAGTAATATAGATGTAAGTGATCTCAAACCAAATGTTGAAGAGTTGGAAATGCTATTGGGAGCCTACTCTGTGCAAATAGAAGGAATATTAAACAAACTATCGACAGTAAGTTAAACTTCTCTTTGTTTTTACTTTTTAGATAATGCTATGCTACTTCTAATCCCTAAAGTAGATTTGTTTGGTTATTTGGAAACTTTAGAGGAAAAAGAAGAGTTAGGAGGGATGAAATGCACAGCAGAGCAGAGGGTACTCTCTTTGTCTGTCTGTTCGGTTGAGCAAAATGTGTTACTTTGTTTCACCGAAATATTTTTATTTATCGGTGAAAAGGGTGTTTATTTGAAGGGGGAAAAATGTGAGTAAAATGTTTCCCTTTTTCCCTTCTTCCCTTCTTTCTCTTCATTTATTTTGGGAAGACTGATTTTGATGACTTTTGCTTTGTATTTCTACTTCTTCACTCCAGCTGTGATATTGAATTTTGTTTGAAACTAGCATATCAGTTTTAGGGAAATTGACACTTCTGATCAAGCTTTCTTTATGATCAGTGGGTAACAAACTGCACTTACATTATCTCTCATATTTGCAAAGTGGGATTTCTCACCTGTCTCAAATAACAAAATTCATTGATTTGATGGTAGTTTATTATACTTCTTATTTATGTTTTTCTCTATACTTTCTGTGTACATCATGAAATATACAAGCACCCTCATTTTTTGAGTATCTCGGATTAATTTATGACATCATTAACCACCTCATAATCTTGCAGCCATATTCTCAACCATAATTTGGCATCACACAACTTTTTAGGTCCTCTACACCTTTCACAAGTTCAATCTATCCATCAGGGAATTGGATCCTTTCTTTGTATATTCAATTTGATGCATAGACTTTGGTTATGAATGCACAGCATGAGGTGGAATCCAAATCCAAGTTGGGATTGAACCTCACTGGTGCGATGCATTTGCACCACCCTCTCTCTCTCTCTCTCATGTGCATTATTGTTTCTTCTTGATGCAGGCAAAGTTTGCTCGAGACTTGGAAAATTTCCTGGACCAAAGTTAGAGGGAATGAAGTGAAGGTGGAGAGTTACACTTGTACTTACTCAAATGTCCCTGTCGAGGAATCTCCTTAACTAGTACATGCATACTTTCCGAGAAGTTATTTGGTAGTCCTGGGACATGGCCCCAACGCCTCTAAGAACCGCACAATGACATGGGGTCCTCCCCTAAATGCAGGGAGTTTGCATGATCAGGTGGCTTTTGGAAACATTGGGGCAATGCTCACGAGCACCAAATAAAATTTTCTCCTTTCCCTATAATGAGAATACTTAAATGTTTGACAGGTATACCGCAAAGGCTG